GCTGCGACGCAACGATCTCGGCAGTGAGATCGGTGGCTCCCACTGTGGTCGCCAGATTGTTCGCGGGAAAAATCATAGCTTTCTTCATTGAATTCATTGTTCTTCTCAAGTAATCGTTTATCAGTTACAAAAAGATCCGGTCTTTTTATAAGATCCGGTTACAACGAAATCAAAGAAAAAGAAATAAAAAATTATAACTTTTCTCTTTTATCGAACGAATCGCGAGCTCATGTTTTGCGGTCACTCGCTTGTGTGGGTTCTTTGCCTGCGTTGGGGTTTATCCGTGGACCACTGCACGATCTAGATCCGGTCAGATCTACACGGTATGATGGGTGTTATTTCACAAAGGAAATAACAGCCGAGGGTACTATTTCGCCAAGGAAATAATAGCCTTTAGTTCTCGGGATCAAAGACCAAGCTTTGATCCGGAGGGAAATCGTGTAGATCTCAGATCTGATCTCTCTTGAACTCCTGCCTTATTTGGCGTAGACGATCACTAAGAACCAGATCTGGAAGTCGAGTCTTCAAAGCTTCAGAAGTTCAAGTCTAATTCTCAATCCGGCAGAGTTTCGGCCCTGAAAATTCCAACCTCTTGAAAAATGAACCTCCCTCTCTATTTATAGTCTCTAGAAGCGGATCTGGGCCCAGATCTGGGCCGAGCCACCCATGGGTGGCTCGGCCACCGAGCCACCTAAAGGTGGCTCGGTTTTGGCCGAGCCACCAAGGTGGCTTGGTTTTTGACCGAGCCTTCCTGATGTTTGTCGTTTTGTCCGTCGTCCGGTTTTGTGGTTTCGCTGTTGATTTGGATTCTGACTTGTTGATCTGAATCCTGATTTGGCAGTGAATCCGCTTCGGTGTTCGAGTTCGAATCCGTTCTACAGTTGGATGACTCGTTGATTCACCGAACCGTTAGCTTGATTCCGCACGCGAGTGGATTCATTCCGTTGTTTGCGTGCGGTTCGTTAGCCTCGTCGCCTCGTTAATCCGCTTCGTCGCGTGTCACTTGGCTTCAGTGTGGTGGACTAACGCTCGTGTTTAGATATGTCACCCGATGGTTCGTTGGTTTGTCGAATCACCGTGCCGAGCTGTGTTCAGGAACCTATAGGCAGTTTTATACGCCTACATCTATATCCTGAAAATGTGGCATTCTGCTCACTTACACAAATAATAAAACTTTAGAGTTAGCATTTAGTTGGACAGTTTTGGGTAGGTGATCCGTAGGGTTATACAATCTGCCAAAAAAGGGATTATATTCATTTATAGAAAAAATATTCCCCCCCCTGGTTACAGAATGAAATGTAGATTAGATGAACCTACATTGTTTCCTTAACTATTGAGTAAGCTTGCACCGTACACGGATGAGCAAGTTTCATAAACGAAGTAGTTGTTCATGCTGTTACATGGTCCTTTTGAAACCTATCGTCTAATGTGAAATATGGATCCATACACAATTATATGGTGAATTTACTACCTTGGGCATCATCACTGATTGCAATGCACTTGTGCCTGCTTTGGGTCAGACCACACTGGCGACTTCATGGTTTGTTATGAAAGGGGATAGTGCTGTAAATGAATGAAGGAGACTACATTGTTTTTTACTACGTCATGAAACAGATAAATCCAACCTAACCATCTGAATTTCAATCCTAAGCTATCTGAGTCAGGTAAAGAGAAAGCTAAACCTATTATCTAAGTTTTACTTTTAAATTAGTTGTTGATGTTACCATATTGGATGATTTTGTTAGCTTTGTCTTGAAAATAAACTTCCATGATAATGTTTCATGTTGCATTTTTTAGTTTTATTTGCATATATTTTGGAGGCTTTACTTTCTAACGGGAAGCTGCCATTTGTAAAATTATAGTATATAATTACATCAATATCTATTTACAAAAAAAATTATTTGTCATGAAGTTCTCCTATGTGTAAGATTTATGCTGATAGTTGCATGGAGAATAGTTTTTTTGGACGCATTAGTTTCCTAGTAACTAGTAAGTAGTAGATAAGGTAGGAATATAGGGTGTCTATTTTCTAATTTAGATTTCCAATGGAATTTTATCTTTATGTGTTTTGAGTGCATCTTCAAGAGTGAGTGAGTGAGTGTGTGTGTGTTCTGTAAGATATTAAACTATAACATGCCTTCTTTATCTTCTTCCCTTATGTCCTTAGTAATGTGTGTGCAATGCATGCATGCTATGCTAGCCAGTTTGTCTATCCACCCATGACTCAAAGCAGCTTCTTGAAATGTTTGATTCGTTCTAAGGTTATCATCACTCGTACTACAAGCTTATGCAATATAAGAATAATTTTTGAGCTATTATTTTCACACTGTTGCCAATTATTCCAGAAGTTGGTTCTTTATCAATGGCTGGAGAACTGTCTGAAATCAGGAGAAAAGTTATCTGAAGAGCAATATACATTAAATCTAGAAGTTAATAATACAGAGGAGCAAGAGAGAGTCAGAAATCATAAACCAACAAATCCTAGATATTCAGGTGATGAATTATTGCGTCACAAAAGGACCAAGGTGCCTTCTGAAGATTCAAGGGAAAAAGGCAGGATTGATGATGAAAAGAGGGCCGGACTTGTTCCAGGTGGATCTGATAAACCTGACAATCAAGAGGCCTCCAAACATGTCGAAGAAGAGATGTTGGAAATTTGTCACAAGACTGACCAAAGTATTTGTGCCAGTAGTCCCAGTTCCGTTGATTCTGACCCTGCTACTTTTGAAGCATCAAAGGAGGTATAATTCTTTGGGCATTACCCTGACTATGTTTTGCATTAAAATAAAAGAAAATATTTTGAGGACAAACATATTCGTATTTACTTTTGCTCTTAATGTACACAGGAACCTGGAATTATGCTGCATTAACAAATGTTCTATTTCTTCTCAGACAGTTTACAATTTATAGGCCCAGAACAAATTGTTTCGGAACATATGAGCTCTAATATTACGATACTGCCACTACCGTTATATATTACAGTTGCAATTCCCACTAGCCACCTTGAAAACCTGTCACAAATTACCCCCACAAGTTGCAACCCTTGTCTCTTTCCATTGCTCTTCCACATTTCTACTACTGACCTTCAAATGAAGATCTCTTATCTAAGAAAATATTCATTTGACTTCTCTAGAACATCAAAAGCCAATTAGTTTTTTTCTTTTAATACTGGCTAGTCCTCCTCTTTGCCTTGATAAATCTTTTTATTCTTCAGCAGTTTCTTTCTAAAGTGCACAAGCTTGATGTTTTTTCCCGTCCTTCATTTTTTCTTTTTGGATCTTTCTTCTTAATCAATTGAGTTGTAACCATCTTATTTTTTGCTTTGTGGACTCATCAAGTGACAGATCATAATCGATATTGTTTTTTATTGATGAAATTTGTGCATAGAAATAGTTTCATACAGAGCTACCTGATTTTTGCTAGACATCTATCTATGATGAAGGTTGTTAATTTCACTTGCTAATACTTTTCTTACATCTTGTAATTAGGCTGATGCTTCTCAGTTGTCATCCTTGTACAGCCCACCTGATCTTAACAGGAATATAACCGAAATATTTGGCAAGCTCATTAACATATATAGAGGTATGAATTCAAGAGAATAACTTATTTGTACTACACGTCGATTGTTCAACTTCACTTTTTTGCTTTTGTCATCAAAAGCATTAGGAGATGATCGCAGATCATTCAGTTACCACAAAGCCATTGCGGTGATTGAGAAGTTACCGTTTAAAATTGAAAGCATCGACCAGGTCAAACACCTTCCTGCAATTGGGAAATCAATGCAAGATCATGTAAGTGGACAGGTTCAACTTTCCATTTGATTTCAAAGCACCATTTCTTAGTTACAATCTCAAAACAATACCTTCCTGCGATTATGGGTTCTAGCTGAGATGTGTCATGCGGGATGGAAAATTTATATTGCCAGTCTATGACCTAATGCTTCTTTTATTGCGAGAAATATGAGCAGTCTGTTAATTACTATTTTGCATGAACCCCTTTACGTCAGATGCCATGAAATTTTTGAGCGGGCCAGAATAGCTTCATGCCTTCATCTGCACAATGCACACTTTAATATATTAATTATTATTAATTGTTTGACAGTAATGAAAAAATTGTTCCCCATGGTGTTTGTACTTTATACATAGCCTAGCATCGGTCATTGGAGGGGGTCCAATGAATATTTTTATTTTAAATAAGGGCCTAGTTTAGGTCACCAATTAATAATTGCTTTCCATAGTAATGAAGAATGACATTTCCTTTACAACTTTCGGATTAAAGCATTGATATCAGAATTCAAAGTTTCTTTCTTTCTAATGACTTAGGAAGAAGACACTCAATTGCTTCTTTATGCAGATTCATGAAATAGTGACCACTGGAAGGTTATCTAAATTGGAGCACTTTGAGCAAGATGAGAAGGTGATGTAAGGTTTCTTCAGAAACAAGACTTTTTAAAGTAAAAAGTATTAACTGAATACTTATAGATAGGTCCTCCATTTTTTGTTGTGATGAGGAGGCCTTCTCTTTTCTTAGTTCTGGTTAGTTATTTCAAATGAAAGTCTTTGCTTTTCTTTGTATCTGATTAATTGGCATATCAGTTTGCATTTCTAAACCTATCAATTTGCACGAGATGTAAAAAGTAATATGTTTCTTTCGAAGCGTCTCCTTAGAATGCGGAGGTGTTCACTGATAGTTGTAGATAGCTCCACCTGTTTTTATTTGGTTCTATTTTTTTCGGTTTTGTACTTCTCATTCTTGTTAATTTTTCAGAGAGAAGGACTTTTCCTTAATGTTGGTAGTCGTTGGAGTTTTGAAGATCTTCTTTTAGATTAATCCTTGTTTCTTAAATTTAGTATTTCTAGATTGTTTCTTGCCTTCAGTATTCTTTGAGGAATTTGGGAATTGGAATATACAAACAATGATACTATCCTGCCATGTGAAGAATCTAGTAAGTTGCTTTTGTTTGACATTGGAAATTTTGCTTTCTATGATGTATAGGATAGCGATGCTTTCAAAATTGATGTTCCACTTTCATCCACATGGACAACATCATATCATGTGCACATAGCACTGTGTACACACACACACACTATGATTCTTTCACACAAGACATTAACACTGTTTATGGTGATTGTGGACTGACCTGAAGTTTTCTGCTTACCCTCTGACACTGTATTATCATGTGTTGTTTCCTTTACTGTTGCATACTCGTAAAGTCATCTATCTGTTGTGAAGGTGCGATCAGTCACTTTGTTTGGAGAAGTTTGGGGAATTGGTCCAGCAACTGCTCTAAAATTGTATGAAAAAGGACACCGTACCCTTGAGGATCTGGAAAAAGAGGACTCTTTGACAAATTCACAGAAACTAGGATTGAAGTATTTTGATGATATCAGTAAGAGAATTCCACGAAATGAGGTGTGGTTAATGGTTTCCATGTGCCTTTACTTTGATGATTTGTTTATGTAAATGTAAGTTCATCTCTAAGGGCAAGTTCTTTTTACGGTGGCTTGATATAGGTTAGGGATATGGAGATGCTTTTACAAAAAGCTGGAGAAGATATTCTCCCTGGGGTGAGTATTGCTGAAAACTAGATGTTATATTTAGTATTTGCTGACTAAATCTACTTTAGGCTATTGATTGTCTTTGAGATTTTATCTTCTTCAGGAGATTTAATATCTTTGAATTCTATCATTGCTTCTCAATCATGGCTAGATATAGTCACAGTCTCCACCAAGTGAAGCATACATGGAGTTTGTCCCATGTAAATTAAAATTTACTGTTGAATTGTCCCTCAACCTCACTTTTTTTTGCTCTCTCAATCCTCTTTCTTATCTTTCATTTATCTTACTTCTACCATGATAGAGAATGCCTTCTCATCCAAGAAATTTTTATATCTGATGCCAAATAACATATGTGCTAAACAATTATATTGTATTTTGAAACAAGATTTGAAAACTGATTCGTAAGCAATTAGGAATCTAAGTGAATAGTCATATAACTATCCACAAGCCTACATAAGCTAATTATCAAGTCACCTTTAAAGTGGAATAGTAAAAATTAAAATTAAAAGTAGCAAATCATATGTACTTTGACGATTTAAGACTGATATTATGTAACATGGAAAAAAGAACACTATTAGATTCTACTTGTTCTTGATGACTCGTGTTCTTCACATAATTATAGACTCTTTGATTCAAGTCAGATTTCTGACCAAAGTCACCAAACTACCAACAAAGTTTGTTAGTTCAGAAGTCCTTTGGTTGATTGGAGTGGAATACCTTTGTTTACTGGTAGACTGGCTTAATAGGTCCTAAATGGATAAGTTTAAAAGTATATTGTTCTACTAAAAAATATTCTAAAGTACAGAAATATTACGAGTACCCCCTCTTCAATTTCCTTTACAACCTTCTTTTCAACAGTGCCACATAAGCTCTACATTTATTTAAACAGCTAGATATGAACAACAAATAGCAATAATATCACGGTTCTGTACAAGCTTAAAATAATAGAAGATATAGTGGGGAACATAGTGAAACAAATGCGGAATAAGAATGAAGATAAAGTAGGTGTAATTGGAGAAGAAACATAGAAGAAAGAACATTTGATTAACATATCAAAAATGTCCACTCTAAAACATTGAGTTTAACGTATCAGAAATATTATTATTCATTACAAAACATAAAATTCATTTATTAAAAATATTATTATCTACTCCAAAAATTGACATTAATAATATTTTATCCAATATGCAAAGGGAGATCAAACCATGGTTAACAAATAATTTACCTTCTTCCAAAGCAAATAGTAATAGAGTAATCATCAAACAGGTGCAGCAAAATATACTACCTCGGAAATGGCAAAACCACTCGCCCGTTATTTCTCCTAAAAAGATCTAATTATTCACCAACAAAACTCTGAGATTAACCTACAGAATCATCCATGCTTGTGCACATTTTATACGGGTCCTTTGATTTTGAGAGGAGAACCACATAACATAGCTACTAAGTTATTTTCTTTATTTATAATCCCATAACTGTTTTGGTGACATATGAATTAGTATGGCTACTCGGTAACTTCAACTTTAAGATGAACTTGGTCAATTAAAAATTTGAATCTAAATCATATTATCACATCTTAAATAATGTTAATTCGTCGTCTGTCATGGTTAATTGTTCCAGCATGCCTTGCTTTAAGTAAATTATTCATATGATTATGAAAATTTTCTGGTCTTTTACATCTTATAGTTGCATTCGTTATATTGTGTTGGCCCTGTGTACAGTCTTATCCCAAGGTACCCATGCCTTCCTTTGATGTATTGGGTCTCCGTCAGTAGAATTTTTGTACTTCACATATTGTTGGGTTACTTGTGGCATTTTAGCTAGTTCTTATGATTTGTGTTGGCTTGACCATTATCAACTTTGAGAATATAGTTAAATGAAATCCAGTTTCTGATTTATAAAATGAACCTTTGATTCTGAAGGTTGTTATTGTCTGTGGAGGTTCCTATAGACGTGGAAAGCCTTCCTGTGGGGACATGGATATCGTAATTACTCATCCTGATGGAGAGAGGTATGTCTGATATAACATAGTGTTTTATTTATCATGTTATATGATTTTTTGCATGGAGATCCTAACTCTAAAAAGAAATATGTTAATGATAAAAGATCTTTACTCTTGTTCTATTAAACTGTGCTGTTAAATTGTTTCTTTTGCAATTCTTGTTCTACCACACTATATACCTAATGTGATTATGTTTATTATGTTGTATTGTTTTGAAAATGAACAAAATTTCCATTGTCGAATCTTTTCATGTTCCATATTCTCCTTTGAGTGTTTTTGTTTGATCGATTAGAATTTGCCTAGTGCTTGGCTTATGAGAGTTCTTATCGAATCTTTTCATGGTCCATATTCTCCTTTGAGTGTTTTTGTTTGATCGATTAGAATTTGCCTAGTGCTTGGCTTATGAGAGTTCTTAACTGTTTTGTCGATATCAGTTTCACTACCTGGTTAATTGAAACCCAGGCTTTGCAGCAATTCCAAAATTTTCTCTACCTTGCTTAGCAAGGCATTTGACTAACCCAAGCAGTTGGAATCACAACCTTTTCTTGAGGCTTCCTATTGTCAGTTTTTATCTCAACTTTGGCATGGTATAAATTAGAAGTCATACTAGCATGTTGATCAACTCATTGTGTTTTCTGTCAGAACAAATCGATCAAAGATGCCATTGTTGTAGAATATTGTGTTAGGATATATTTGGCGGTGACTCTTTTACAAATATATGGACCTGTGTTGTAGAATATTGCGTAGGATATATTTGGCAGGACTCTTTTACAAATATATGGACCTGTTATTTGAATATAAGTTATTGAGTTTCAGCATCTTGCCACATGCATCTGGTTATAAATTCAGTTAATTGTAACATATTATATTGACCTCAAGTAGATTTATCTGAGGTCTGTCAATTAAAAAGCTCTAGTTAAATTTAATAAAGGTAAATATTGGTTTTCTTTCCTGAGGACTCGTGTTCTGTATTTGTTACTTTTCATGCAGAGTCTTGGACTCTTGGCCTTGCAACAGTCCTTTGTCTTATGTATTACTGGTTATGCTAGTCTGGTACATGACCTTTACTTCATGGTTTCCTGTTTCTTCATTAGATAACTCCCTCTAGCCCTTTCTGATGTCTTTTATCACTATGGTTGTATATTTTTTATTCACTAGGTCTGGATCATTCTTGTAATCTTACCTGTTGAGTGTTCCTTGTAACCAGCCATAAGGGTTTTCTATCGGAATATGTCCGATACTTGAAGGAGATCAATTTTTTGAGGGAGGATCTGGTTTTCAGTGTCCATAGCACTGAGGTAGTTTGCTAATCTTGTTCTCTTGTTAAGCCTTCTTCTTTCCTTTTTATTTGTTGGTGAATACTATGGATAAAGCATGAAGTCACTTTCTTAGTTAAGAAATTAATTAAAAGTTAGCTCCAGGCTGTTGATAATACTGTATGGTAGTTCAAACCAGTATAAGTTGTGCTGTATTTCTTCCGGAATCTTTACGTTATCTTGTCTGTCATGGTACACATTGATACGCATGCATCGATAATCTCCATTGAAGATAACTTTCTAATATGGACGTGTATGGACGTGAACCATGAGGAAGCAGCCCTGAAAAGCAGGTGGTACTTATTTTTGCCTGCTTTGGTTTATTCAGTTGAATGGTTTTATCCTGTTGTGAATGTAATAATGATCTTGAATTTCATCTAGTGTGTGATCTGAGGGCTCAACTAGGATGGATCTCTGATAAGTTTCTAAACTTATTAAGTGGAAGGGAAAAAGATTAATATGAAATTTTTGCCATTAGAAGATGAGTTCAGAATGTTTGCAGTATATTTAGGATCTGAGATCTTAGTTCAGTTTGTTCTTTGTTGGTCAAAAATATAAAGAGCTCATTTGTGGGTTTAGTTTATGCTGAAGCTTTACATCATTATGTAATACTAGTATAGTGCACACAATGCACGTGGATATACTGGTTTCATATCCCAATTGCACTAATTTTCACCCTTTAATTGCAAACGAATTCAGCACAAACAAGTTCTCATAGGTGTTAGGGGATTGCACTGTATCATGCAGATACACGAAAAATCACATTCAACATTACATTTCACATTTGATGACCACAACCCTTGATAAAAAATTCAACTCATTGAACCTTTTTTGGACACCTATAAACACAAGTTTCATGCAAAGCTTTAGCAAAATAAGTCAACAAAAATAAAATTTCATTGTTATTAAACATCATGTATATGTATAAATTATGCAATTAAATATTTTTTGTTGCTTTTAAACAAAACAATCATCTTTACTATATTAATGCAATCTACTCAATAGAACTTAAGGGAAAAAAGCTCAATGCTTATGTCAATGTATTCAGCTCACCAAATATGTAAATGGAATCAAAATTGAACAAATTCTTATAGAAGCTCAGTTCATACACGCTAGTTAGGAGACCACTAGAAGAAGCAATTCAAACATTTAGTCCCAACACCAAAGTTGAATGTCGTACATTCCATGCTTTAGGCACTTGCTATTTAAGGACAATATTAAAAAATGGCTCATGAAGTAGTGAACAACGTGCTTATCAACATCATGGAAAACAAAAGGACAAATAAGTAGCTAATAAAAACATGTCGTATACTCTTTTTGGAAACTAGCATATTTACTGTAAATAAATACCTATACATAGCTATTTGGATAAACCGTCTCACCCAAGTAATGAGCATTCTTCCTCAAAAGTACACAATTGATTTGTGACCTGAAATATGAGAAATAAAACTTGTGAATATGCAAAAATCAAGATAACATTCTATAACGTGAATAACTAGAAGAACATTTTCAAATAAAGGAGAATGAAACAATGTACATATTATAACTCAACCAAAAGAGGAAAATGTGAAACGTCAAGAATTGGCTAGTAACTATAATAAATGATATAAGAAATAGAGGCATGTTTTTCCCTGGTATGGTTTCTCTTTAACTTCTATATTGATAAATTTATGGAACAAAAATTTCTCTTTGTGAAAAATAGGTTTAGTTTCTTCAACATAATTGCAAGCTTCTAGCATTGGCACTATTTACCATGACTTGCAAGAGCATTCTTTCCCTTCTTTTACAAAGTGACTTTATGCAGGATATGCTTCCTGCAATCCTTGTCATTGCAGAGTCCTAGTATGTTTTCTTGGTCTTTGGTACGTTCACCTATACCATAGAAAGCATGCAACGTAAACTTGTTAAAGGAAGAAATACCACAATAGCAAGATTGTACAACATCAAAAAGTGTGCTGAACTGAAGGAAAAGCTGCTTAAAACCAATCTATAGCGGGTTTCCTTGTTCATGTAATAGGTTTCAGATTTATAATAATTTATGATGGTGCTACATGTATCGCCATGAAAACAACATTCATGTTTTCAGCACTTACAATTTTTTTAATCAAATATATATTTGGAACATCTTGATTTCATGAGACAAAAAGACAACAATCAATCTGTCAATAATAATTAGAGCACAAGATAGCTACAAATAAAAAAAAGCAGAAAAATCTTAATGGAAAATGTACTGACAAATGTAGACAGTTTATTTGAAGACCATCATAGGCCTATTCATACAAATATGCAGATGAAAGGATCCATAAAAAAACCAGGTCTCCTAATTAAACTCCAGATATCAAATTCTCGGAAGCAAAGAAATCTTCCTTAGTATGGAGCATGCATCAAACAATGTACGCAATAATGCGCGCGCGCGTGTGTGTATATATATATATATATATGGACACACACGCACACGTACATATATATATCTATGTGTGTATACATGTACATATGTATATATGTGTAGAGAGAGACCAATACCTACTATTTCTCTAGAAATCGGTTTTTGCAAGTAATTGATGGGCAAGATGAAGCGTTGGAATACTGTGTCTTGATGCGAGTAATTAAATGAGGGAGATGAAGCGGTGAAAGGCACGCTTGTTTGTGGATGGGTTGTGCATAAGTGTTCTTTATTGAATTTTTTAAATTAATTTAATTTAGTAAATAAATGAGTACTTTTGTTATGATTAGTCATTGCAATCTTTTAAAAAGGTAAAAATAGAAATTAAAAGTTTTATATGTGTATTCTCTTTATAAGTAGTATAGATATGTGGAATGTGGTAATAGGAGACCTGGAATCTTCGCTTCTTAGATTGGAATATATCTTGTATGTAAGCAGTGTCATGTAGACGTAGATATACATATTTAACATGTTGGCATCTATGTTTATATCTTCTATGAAGATGTTACAGCGTTTGCATTTTATTTTAGTTTCATTACTCAAGTTAAGAGCATCATTTTCTACCTCAAGGCTGTGCTTCCTATTCGTTCTGCATAGTAATATACTGAGCCATTAATATATATTCATTATTTCTTAGTGAACCACAGATTGATTTAACAATCACTTGGTTCATTGACTTATATTAGGGAACTGATTCTGGGGTAGATACATACTTTGGTCTTTGCACTTATCCTGGTCGAGAACTTCGACATCGCATTGATTTCAAGGTAAGAAACTTTTGGACGGAGAACTTTTCTCTATCAACTTTGTCTTTTACTATTAACAATAATTACAATCCAACCTCCGTTCTTCACAAAAAATCCCACTATACTCATTGAAGCGCAGTTAATGAAGAGATATCATTATGGCAAACACTTATTTTGTTTAATAATTTTTTCTACTTGCAAATGTCGGTTCCTAAAGACTTTCGCAAAGAATAGTTTTATCTAATTGACATTAAATTGTTTATGCTTTGTACTTGTTCTAGTTAGGAAATTGCTTATATTTATGTTCCCTAGTCTGGCAATTGCAAATATTTCACGTAAGAAACTATGTTATCCCATATTCTTGTTCTTCAGAAGTTCTGTTTGTTTTGTCCTCCTATTTTCTGTGAGATATTGAAGTAGCCTAGTTTAGCTATAATAAATAAATATTTAAAATTTCTTTTATGAATTGCTTACAATGCTTAATGAAATGATATTTCATGCAAAATATGCTTATCCAAACTTGGTCACCTTTTTGTTTCTTTACCATATTTACCATTTTGGTTTACTATATTAATCCGTCAAATAGGAGCATCTGTTAGTCTAAGTCTTATTATATGTTCTAGTCTTTTTTGAAATTTGGTGCTCAACATAATTCTCACAAACTTAAATTGGTTGGTTAGTGGCGGAGCCACGTGGGGACCAAAAGGACCTTGAACCCCTCTTGAAAAAGTAAAATTACAAGAGTGGTCGTATATGGTTTATATGTAAAATCCTATGGCCTAGCGTAAAAGATGTAATTTATATGCAAGATCTAGTAGTAGTAAAAAAATTGTAAATATGTAAGATCCTAGGACCTAACTTAGAAAGAAATAAAAAAAAGTAAAAGTTTTAGTCCCTCAACGGGTCTGTAGAAAAAAGATAATTTTTTAAGTTTTGATGATAATAATTCCTATTATAACTTCATATTATGGCTATTTTTTTCCTTCGTTGTTTTTAACTTAATCTTATAACTTCATGAAAGCTTGGTACTTGGTTTGGAGTTATATTTATTTGTGGATGTCTGGTAAACACTATATTCTAATATGAAATTTAATTTTTGAAAGTCTAGCTCTTTAATGATATTTATGTAGTAATTAATCGTAAAAAATAAAATGCTATTGTGTTTACTTATAAACTAGTTGGAATGCACGTGCATTGCACATGGTTAAATATCTTGATTTTTTTCGATTATTTCTTTATTATAACTTGGTTGTGAAATTGTTTATCGCTATCATAATATATTGAAATATGATGGACGTCTCCATGGATAAATCCTTGTTGTTTTTTTTTTCTTTTGGAGAAATAGTAAAGATTAGAGGCTTAAAATGTCATTTTAAGTAATGAGTCATCCATCTGATAACCTTGTATATTTGACACCAATAAGAATATTATTTAAATAAGAAACCAATTTTTTATAATTGCTTGATAATTTGGTTCATCAATGATAAAATTGATATTCCTTCTATACACACTATATTGCATGAATCTATTTTCTTTCAAAATTTCCACTATAAAAATTCAAGTTATGCTACTAGAAAAAGAATATTCTTTCGAAAGAATGACCCTAAATATTTACAAACATATAAAAGATTAAGAATGAAAATATACTTTTTATAATGTATTAATAAATAAAACACTTAAAGAAGCATCCCATATGACAATAATTGAACAATTAAATAAGTATACATAAATATGATTAATACATTTATCTGGTGATAGTTGCAACTGTAACAAACTCTTATTGCATCTATGAATCTTATTTCAGTTCTTAAATATTCAATATAAAATCACAATATAAAGAATAGACATCTTAATTGTCAATAATATTAATCATATCGATTGTAATTTTTGCCAAAAATTTCACTTTGAATCCCATGTTTAAGTTTTGAAATAAACATGAATAGCTATATACATTAGAACAAAGATAAGTAACTAAGTAATCAAACAAACCAAGCAAAATAAGAAATTGATTATAATTAATTATGGATCAAAATATTGATTAAATGTCCAAAGTAAAATAAAAACTCCACTTCAAATATAGAAGACAAATATAAAAAGAGAAAAAAAGAAATCAGAACACAATGCCTCATGATATTTTTTCATATACAAATGAAAAAGAAAAGACAAAAAAAATAAAGCAAACACATTATGAAACTCTTTCCAGTTGCACACAAATTAACAACTCACGATACAAAATACAAACATTACATATATGCTTCCAAACCCATTTATAAAAGGAGCATGTCCCATAAATGAAGTTAAAAGATTGATTATTGGCTAAATAACACTTAAATACCACAAAGCTTCACCGTTTTGGCACTTAAATTCCGTAACTTGTTTCTTGTGACGCTTAAATTTCATCAGCTATCGCTACTAAAATCATGATAAAATCTTTTATTTTTTTTACAAAAGAACAAAAATACCAATCCCCTAATTGATTTTTAACCTTAAATTCTTCTTCATCCCTCAAATCAACATCTAATTCTCCTAAATCTCTTTCTCTATCCCTAATAATGTGTTCATTCTCAAGTAGTCACCTCTTTCCTCTTCAATGTCGTCTTTTTCTCTCTTAAAATTTCTTCCATTATTCTCCATTTCTATGTACATCATCACTATCAACCCCTTCCTTAGAGTTGTATTTTTCACATTGTAACTTCCTAATCACTATTTGAGCTTGGAGAAAAAAGGGATTGTGTTTTCATTCAAGGAATTTGGGCACTAGGTTTTAGATTGAAGGATAAACATAATTTTAACCATCAATGAGGTTAAAGAGGAGCTAAATTTGTCATGTGATAGTGACATGAGAATATTCTATGGACTATTCTCGCGTGTGACTACTAGAAAGTACCAACATGCAAAATTAAGGGTTTGTGTTTTCATTCAAGGAATTTAGGCATTAGCTTTCAAATTGAAGGATAAACATAATTTCAGTGATCAATGAGGTTAAAGAGGAACTGAATTTGTCATGTGATAGTGACATGAGAATATTTTATGGACTACTCTCATGTGTGACTAACAAAAGGTACCAACATGCAAAATTTGTGAATCTTATGGTATTTAAGTGCCGTCAAAAATAACTTGTGGTATTTTTAAGTGTCAAAATGGGGGAAATTTGTGGTGTTTAAGTGCCAACAAAATTAATTATTTTATTAGATTTCAAAATGAATAAAAAAAGTTTACTGAACGTACCAAAACCTCCTATACTTTGGCTTCCAACACCTCTAACTTAATTAGAAGCACTGCTCTTGACAGTTATGCTTTGAAAAATTAAGGGAAGTGGAATGAACTCAAATGACAAAAGAATGAAAGATGAAAGTTTTGAGAGATGAAAGTTTTGAGAGGATGATTTGGTCAGATTATAAGGTCAAGTTATTGCCTAATGCATTTGTTTTCAATGGGTTTATGGGTTTGCTTGTCACGCCCTAGGCCCGTGTGCCAACGGGCTCGTTGACACATGCAAGCTATGAGACCCATCGAGTGTAACGCATTGTTTGGCTCAAATCACTGTCAAAATCGACTAACCGATATTACACTTGAGCCTTTAGCTTCACTATATAAACACTTTAATTGCTCACTATCCCATTGATGTGGTAGTAAACTAGGGGCGTCACATTGCTAATTTTAATCAAAACCGTAAAAAAAATCTCAAATGGATAAATATTAAAATATTAGTTTATTGGCAATTTTGAACATCTTTCATCATGCATTTCTACATTTATACCTAACTTACAATAAATTTATATGTATCCTCAACTTTTTCTTTTTAACATTAGAAAAAATCTATGTGATTAAATATAAGCTTGACATATACCTTTCATAACCCTCAGCCATGAGCATTTAGCTTTTCCAATTAAGAGAATTTCGTTCTGAAGCTTAGAGTTTGTCTTACCCTTTGATTCATTCATTACTTGCATTTAAATAGAAAAACACAGAAATTAAAATTATTGATATTGGAAATAAAAGTCTAACAAGACCTGACAAGAATAAAAGAATATAAATTGAGATCTCAACATTCACAAAACCCACAAAAATCAATTTAATAAAAATTATATAATGGCCGGGTATAGGGATTTATGCCTCATTTGTAGTCAAGAAGACGTTAGAGAGGTTTTGGGGGATTAGAGAGGTTGTATTGAGACAGAAAGAGGAGAGGAAAATTGCAAAGAGGAGATTTTATTGGGTTGTGAGAAAAAGAGAGGGTTTCGGTTTTCATTGATCTTTAACTCTTGGAATTTGCTCAGGTTGCGTATAGAGAGAAGTTGAATTGAGAATTAAGTTACCCAAGTTGTGAGAGAAGGCACATTATGTCATATTTTTATGAGAGAGAGAAAACTTTTCTGAGGGAGACCAAAAGTCATTGAAGTATGCAAAATAATAAAACCGGGCCAATTTTTTGAGCCTTTATTAGGTAGATTAAATTTAATTAGGATTATTAGAAGAAATATGAAAAAGCTTCAAGGGTAAAGTTATCCAAGGAAAGGTTTACTCAAACTCCGACTTCTAAAGGGAGTATGACTATGAGTACTTGGAACCCCCTTCCTGAAATTCCTAGCTCTGCCCCCGTGGTTGGTGTCAGAACTTCATAAAGAGGAGTCATCTTCCTGTCATTGCGCACAAGGCTTGGCAAAACCCCTTTAGTTACCACAAGGAATCCAAAATCTTGAGATTGACTCGTCCAAATCCTATTAATTGGGAACTGATTTAGTTGAAGAACACCTCTTCAACTTAATATGTAGGCTGGACTTGGTGGATTAGCTGCAGGCGTCCAAATAGGTGTCATTTCAGTCAGCTCTGTACAAGTGGAGTGCATTTACAATTTCTGTTGTTCACTCTACTCCATTGATATTGCCTGATTTCCTGTCCGATAGAGATAAATTTGGAAATAATTATTCTTCTTTTTGGAGTAGAGGAAGTAAATCAAGTTCTCAGGCTGGCATAAATAGGATTTGATGTTCAAAACAAATCTCTTGCATGAACACAAGTTGCTTTATGACTATGCTACACTGATATTTGTTCTGCTACTTCTGTAGATAATTAAGTTGGATCTGATCTCTCATGTTTTATTCATATATATACATACAAGTGTGATTTATGTGATGTAATATAGTTTTCTTTATATATGTTTAAATTTATGTGTTTCAGTGTATGTATATATTCCAAGTTAAACGAAATTGCAAAATAATTTGATGGTGACAGGTTTATCCGAGAAGCATATATGCCTTTGGGCTAATAGCATGGACAGGGAATGATGTCCTAAATAGAAGGTACACTACTTTACTAATTAATTTGATCTTTGCTGCAAAGTTATCCTCTGCTCTATGGTCAGCATAGTAACAGACTTGTATGTGGTGGTCTGGAATGAATCTTGCAGTATCGCTGTACTTTTTTTGTAATGGGTTTATTCAAATATTAATATAGACTTCAATGATTATATATTTTTGGGCAAATTTTAATTAAACCCCTGACCTTTTTCTGTGTTTTATTGGGGTTTGGAGC